ACAGACTCACATCTAAGAATTCTGTAGACAAAGAGAGTTGGAACACACTTGGCTGCTGCCAAGGTGCATTGAATAGGCATAGGAAATGACCCCAAATCCAATAACATGGATTTAGTCCTAACATAGATCAATCAGATAGGATGAGGATCCCGAAATACAGGCAACATTTTGCCAATATCACAAATTTGCAATACTGGCAACAGTTTGTCTTGACTATTTATTAAAATTCTAAAAGAAAAAAAAAATCCCAAAAATAAATTCTCCAAGAATGGTAACTCTTTCAAATTTATGTTCACACCATATCCTTTGCCCCTTCACTACAATTCTTATTTTTTCTTGGTTCTAGAGCAACAGTCAACAACTCAACTTTGATATATTGCAGCAATAAACTTATGTTCTAAATCTATTTTAGAAACTTCATTGTCAGTTATCCAACCCCTTGCAGACTAAACTGAGACTTCCTTTAGTTTTGTTGCTCTACAACTCAAGTCTCATTGATACCCCATAAAATGGACTGGTTTAATTTCTAGGTTTATTAGCAATAGCCTATAGATACCTCATCCCACAGGTAGAAGTAAGCTTTCTTCCAATGATTCTTTGTCCTCAAAAGATCAACTTCTTTTCGCAAGGCATCTTTTGCAGCATCACTACTGTTGCATGTCAACAAGCAGATGGTAGTTCATCAAGACAGGTCAAGAACAAATACATTACAGGATCTTGCAAGCCACTAATTGCATACCCAGAGAGTACTGGAGCATAAGGTACAGCATATGCTGCTAATCTCGGATCTGAATAGTATTCATCTGATTTTGGATGATCAGCTACAGAAGCACAAGAAATTAATAAATAAATAATTGACTCAACAAACAAATAAACATAAAATACTAGGCATATATTATATGTAGTTTTATCTAAATAGTACACTATGAAGTCATGATGCAAAATTTTAGCTTGCACTGAGAAAACCAACCAAAGTGCCTTTTAGTATTTAAGCAGACATAAAAACCAATCATCTCAAACAAGATTTATTGTAGTACTTACCTGGCCATGGGCAAGTGTATGTTAAGACACGCATACTATCACCCCATCTGCAAAAGAATGGACTAATTCTGTACTGAAGAAGCCACTTGAAGTGCTGGTCCAATGCAGAATACCACTCTTCACTCCCATGTTTTACACCAAAACGATCCTCGATAACAGTTTCAGATATCTAGGGTTTAATTAAAGAAGCAAGGCCAGGAAACCACATTTTTTAAACATATTTTTTGGTAATTTTTAAATCATTATATCTCTTCAGCTTTGGAATAAGCTACTTATAACGAAAGAACACTGAAGTATTAATTCAGATTAACCAATTAAGGCTTTCAGCAAGAATCAAAGTTCACTTAATGAAAAGAGGAAGCTTCATGCATTGAGCAAGAGTAGAGAAAACAACATAGGAGAAAAGCACATGGCATCTTAACCTTTAACAATAATCCTCCTAAAGGAGTTGCACAGTTGTCTTAATGGACAACAAAATAATCAGTACAATGATAAAACATCAGTAGTCTACGGTTGTGATGAGCTGCAATGCCAAAGTGACACCTTAAAATTACATCACTGAGGACAAATGCATGATTACAACCACCTCCACCAATAGGGCTATAAAAATAATATCATAGCAGCCTTTAAAATGAAAAACAAACAGCAAGGAGAACACTCTTCTTTTGATAGAAAGCAAAAGGAATAAACTGCAACACAGAAGTAAAATAAGAGGTGAACAAATAAACTATTTGATGGTGGCACTATAGAAAAAAAGAATTAAAACCACCCAATATTTTAAAACCCGGCCTGGAGGCTGAACTGCTTTTCTGGACCAACAGGAAAACCTGTGATGTTGTAACAGTAATAAGAAATTGAAAAGCATAAAATAGTTCAAAGCAGCAAACCATTAGGCAGATTAAATGGATCAGCAACAGTCCATCCATCTTGGTAGAGGATCATCGACCAAGGAAATTCTTTTTTTTAAAAAGGCAGGTTAGACTCGTTAGAGTCTGATCCAAACTGGAACTACAACAGGGTGGTGAACCACTCCAACTATCTTGATCAATTATGGTTGAAAACATATAAACTGCCTCATATGCTGCAGACAGATAAAGACAGATAAACAGTTGAGGTATATGCAGTGATTTAAAGGCTCACAGGCGAGGCACATTTTAAGGTATGTGCCGTGCCTAGGCCCCAGGCACAGCACTTGAAAAGGTGCAAAGTGCGCCTTTTCAAAATTTGCGCATTTTGCTCTTTTTTAAGCCTAGCAAACCCCCAATTTGCTAATGTTGTTTGTTTTTTTTTTTTGGATAAATGAGAATAGTTTTATTAATTCAAATAACGAAAATACAATCAGCCTAGGAGGAGGCACAAGATGTTACCTCCCCCGAGGACTGAACCATATACACTAAACATGCCCAACCCTGAAACGCAATTACAAAGTAGCCCAAAACAGATCTCCCCTTGACACTCTTTGCTTGGCCAGAGAATCAGCCATTACATTTGCTGATCTGCTGACCCACTTAAACCTGACAGTCATATTTCTTGTCATCCATTTAACTTTCTTTAACAGATCCCTGTAAGCCCCAACAAACTGTTTCTGGGCTTATCATCCAGCCCACTACTACCTTGGAATCCCCTTCTACTAACAAATTGTTCACTCCAATTTGACTAGCCATCTGTATACCTTGTACCGCTGCTAGAAACTCTGCCCTTACAGAATCACCTTCACCCACTGGTCCTGAAAATAGAGACAACATATTGCTGTCTTTGTCTCTCAGAATCCCACCAATTCCGGATGGCCCTGGGTTACCTCGGCAGCTGCCATCAAAATTCAATTTTACCATTAACAACATATTGTTAATGTTGTTTATTCATTCATCCTAATAAAAGATATTTTGCACCTTTTTCAAAATTTGTACATTTTGCTCTTTTTAAGCCTAGCAGACCCCCAATTTGCTAATGTTGTTTATTCATTCATCCTTGTTAGTGGTGTTAGTGAAGGGGTATTTCAGTCTTTGTACTTGTTGAGTGTGCTGATGTGTACTGTTATGTTAGTTCGAGTGCCTCTTACTTAAAGAAGGGCACTCAAGTCTTTTTCAATAAGTCAATAATATAATAATAGGTCTGGCC